CTCTGAGATGTCAGAAGCCTGGTGTGGCGGGTGAGCGGGAAGCTACTTCCTTCCCAGCGCCCGATAGCTATTGGCCTTGGCTCCTTCCAGGATGCGTCTGAGGGGGTTCTCTGGTCCCACTGAGGCCCTCAGAAGCAATCTGGCTTCTCCTAGCTCCCACCCAGAGCAGCAGGTCAGGCAGGATTCGAACCGAGGTCTGTCCAGCCTGCGGCACCCACCCCTGCAGCGGTGTCAATAGCAGTCAAGCCCCCCCCTCCCCGCCATGTGATCATCAAGGTCATAGCCTGCGTCGGGGAGCTCACAGTGCAGCATCACAGATGGATAAACTGAGGTAAGGTCCTGGCACCCCGTGCAGAGGGAACAGGGCTCCCCTCCCACCCTCCCCCACCCGTGGCAGCTCGGTCAGCTGTCAATCATGGCGCCCTTCCCGCCCCTCCCCCTCCCGGCCTGACTCCTCAATGAGCCCTTTGTCCTGCAAGCAACTCGGAGCTCCTGGGGGTCCCTCCCTGGGACAAAGGGGTAGGGGGGGCCCTGAGGGGGCCTGGGGTGCCCAGCAGGCCTTGCGGAGACTTTGATGCAAGCAATGTGTTCCTAGGGCCAGGAGTTCCACAGATAAGACTCCAGCCTGCTGGGAGGAGAGGGGGAGGGGAGGGAGGGGGAGGGGCCCCAGCCACACCTGGAGGAGGAGCCTGGTGGGGGGGCGGGGAAAAGGCTCCCAGGAGCTCCCAGCCGGCAAGAGCTACAGGTGCACCTGGCCCAGGTCCAGCCCTGGCCCCCTCCCCTCCTCCCCGCTGAAAGGAATAGCACAGGGCCGGCCTAGCCTGGCAGGCCTAGCTGTAGGTAGGGTGTAGAGCAGGGCCGGAGAACAGGGATGTTGGTCCTTACACCGAGAAAAGCTCTCAGCCCTGGGCCCTGGGTAAGCAATGGTGGTCTCTGAGGTCTACCAGATGCCATTATGTTACAGCATTGAGCCTTTGAAAGGAGCTTAGGATCTTGAGACATCAGCTTCCTGGATGGCGTAAATGCCTTTCTCAAGAGTCTGCCCAGACGGGGTTAGGTGACTCATGCCTGTAATCCCTGCTACTGGGGAGACACAGACAGATTGGGGAGGATTAAGGTCCAAGCCCAGCCTGGACTTCATCTCAATCAACAGCTGGGCTTAGTGGGGTACACCTGTCATCCCTGCTGTACGGGAAGCATGAACAGAAGGATCACAGTCCAGACATGCTGGGGGAGGGGGGCGGTGGGAGGAGGGATGGGAAAAATCCATCTCAAAAGTGACAAAAGCCAAAAGGATCAGAGGCATAGCTCCAGCGGTAAAGCACCAGCCTAGCAGGTGCCAGGACCTTGATTTCAAGCCCCAGGAGAGCCGAAATTTAGAAGAGAAAGGAGAGAAAGAGAGAGTGAGACTGTGTCAGCTCTTAGCCTGGACTGGGTTTCAGGACTCTTAGGTACAGATGCAAAATGAGATCCATGTGCGCAGCTTCCTCGCAGTTGTTCTTCTCAGATTGGCTGCACTGCCACCAACGTGAACACACACACACACACACACACACACACACAGCCACAAGGTCCATGCCAGAGGCCAAGCACATGGGGCTGCTGGGTATTGTTTGGTTTTGGCAGCACGGGGTGGGGGTGGGGTGGGGGGGGTGTTGAACTTCTCCCTGGCTTCTCCATGCTAGGCAGGTGCTCAACATCTAGCCACGCCCCCAACACCAGAGCCACGCCCACCACAAGAGCCACACCTACACCACCGGGCCACACCCCATTACCAGAGCCACGCCCCTGCAGCTGGGCCAGGCCTTCAGCTGGGATCTTTGAACCTTAGCTCTAGCTTGGTAAGCTAAATAAACCTCTTTATATAAAAATGTTATGACCTCTGGCGTTTTGTAAATAACAGAAAACCGAGAAACAGCCAGAGAGAATGAATGAGCACGTTTGTTTTTATCCCAAGATGAAAACAAATACAAATGAATTCTTTTCCTTGTATGTTGAAAAAATGTTATAGATATATATGTTAAAAAATATATCCAAGTGGTCATTGTAGCCTGTAATCATTAAGCAAAATTCTAATCTTCATTAGTTCTTAATATTTTTTAGTTTCCCATACTAAACTTTCAAAAGCCCGGTGTGTATTTTACACTTAGAAAACATCTAGCTGGGTGCCACTGGCTCACACCTGTCATCCTAGCTACTCAGGAAGCTGAGATCTGAGGATCGTGGTTCAAAGCCAGCCCAGGCAGGAAATTCCGTGAGACTCTTATCTCCAATAAACCAATAGAAAAATGGAAGTGACGCTGTGGCTCAAGCAGTAGAGCGCTCACTCACCTTGAGCTGAGGAGCTGGGGGACAGCGCCTCAGACCAAACAAACAAATAAATCTCCATTGGGACCAGCCAACTTCTCTCAGACTTGAACCCAGGTGGCCAGGGGTGACAGGATTGAAAGTGCTATATGGACTGTTCTGGCCCCAGCAAGCGTGAGGCCCAGAGTTCAAATCCCAGTGCAGGAAGGAAGGAAGGAAGGAAGGAAGGAAGGAAGGAAGACCCACCTCACACACAAACATACCACAGTCACCATTTACGTCATATTTATTGTTATTTAGCTGCTCAGGAAAACATATACAGGTATATACAATATGCATGAATACAGAAGACTGCACTTTACATATTTTTTTAAAAAAGGAAAAGAAAAAAAATAACACTCAATTTTGAGCTATTGTCAGTCTTCCAACCAAGCATTTCAGAAATGAATTTCTTTTTTTTAAAGAGTCAAAAAAGATGACAGGATTGCTTAACACACAGCAGAGTTAAGTTTCCGTATTTTTACATGTGCAATAACGTTGCTTTTTTTGTGTTTTTTTTTGTTTTTTTGTTTTTTTTTGTTTGTTTTTATTTTTTTCTCTCCCCAGACTTAATGCAGTAATGATCACCAGTGTTTTGGAAGTCTGGCAAGTTAGACACGGTTCTCATTTGCATTTATGTTTTTCATTCAACCAAATTTAATGAAATTACAACCTCTTTGCTTAAGGCTATTTTAAAAGCTGTTCTGATTCTGGGGTCATGGGGAGCAGAGAAACACTTGGAAAATAAAAATAAAATAAAAAACAACTTCAGGGGCTTCCAAAGTTTAACCAAAGCCGCAAGTCCATGGCCAAGCTGGGAAATTTCAAAGACCCAAGCTAAAGGAGACACGTTGCTGGGCATTGTTTCTGTGTAGATCGAGACAGCCTAGGCTGCAGGATCTGGGGGTGTGGGGGGTGTGTGGAGTGTTGCTGGGATTGTAATGTTCCTGCAGCCGGGGGACGGGCGGGGGGGGGGGGGGGCAATGTGTCCCCTGCTCTCTGTCACAAGGCCCAACACAAGGTGGCCTGCTTTTGTCCCCTGTGGGGGCTCGGCCCCTGAGGAGGTGGGACCCACCCACCGGCATCCTGGGGGTGGGGGTGGGGGGCTCCCGTCTCAGCCCAAAGGAACAGCCAAGAGGAAAAGGAGGGAGAGGCGGAGAACAAGGCCTTTCTGGATGTGTCTATCTCTTGGCTGAGAAGTTCCTTAAAATAAACAACATGGGCCCGGTGGAGTGAGCCCCAAACCTGCAGGTTACTTGCTATGAAAACATAAAATAAAAAGTCTAGGCACCGGGGAAGGGCTGGCTCAGTGACACACGCTGTACCCCAAACATGGAAGCGACATGAGTCGCTGATTTCCATGCCTTGCCTGACCCATTGCGAGCTGGAGGGGCCTGCCCCTGCGCACCCCCCAAAGCCATCGGAGCCTCTCAAAGGCACCCTAGCTCCTCCTCTGAAGGGGGCGCCGCTTCCATCTTTTCAATCGTGGTGAGATCGAATCAAAAGAGCAGGAAGAGAAAGACCTGGAATGGAGCTCCTTCCTTCCCTTCTTTCCCAGTGTTCGGGGAGGGGTCTAAGCTAGAGTCCTGGGGAGACGCGCCAGGTGGGAGAAGGGGGGACCCCCCCTCAATCCCCCTCTCCCCTCCCCAAATGGACACGGGGGCCCCTGAAGAGCCAGGGCTGAAGCACCTTCCTCCCCTGTCCCCCTCCCTTGGGCTCAGGCCAGCACCTCATGTCCCCCAAAAGGAGAGCAAAGCTCCCCGGCTAATGTGGGGCCCTTCTCTCCAAGGCTGATTTACCGGCAGGAGGAAAGGGAACGGAGGCCCAGGGCAGGCTGGATGGAAGCAGAAATAACAGGTCTTATTTTCTTCATGAACAGACAAAACAGAACACCAACCCAGCAGCAGGCGGAAGGGGGGTATCCCTCGCACCCCTCACCTGCCTGGACTGAGGGCTTTGGGGTATCGATGTATATCCGGGGATAGTAACATGGCGCTCACCCGCTGGTATTCCACGAAAACTCTTCTTCTCCAGAATTCCCTTTTTTTTTTTTAATAAGAAAAAAAGGCGGGGGGGGGGAAGGGAGGAGAGGGAGAAAAGAGAAAGAGAATTGTAAAAGAGAGAGAGAGAAAGAAAGAAGACGCTGCTCTTGTCTCATTATGAATTAAGAAATACTTGGACATACGAGGAGCTTGAAACTTAAAACCATGTCAAGAAAGAGGTGGTCTAAAAATGTACACAGGCCAAGATTCTAGAAAAAAAAAAGCAAACAAACAAACAAAAGAAGGAAAACAAAACCACAGGAGACGGGAGAGAATTCTCTAGCGGGAAAATGGATTCGGCAGGTTTGCTAACACACGGCGGCACTTGCAGACCGGCGGGTTGTCTGGTGGTGGTGGTGGTGGCAATGGTGGTGTTGTCATCTTCCTCCCTGCCCCTTGAAATTAACCCTTTCCTGTCCAAATGCCACTATGCAGGTTCCAACCTAGACCCAATTTAAAAAAAGAAAAAAAGAAAAGAAACTATCATCCACGCCGCCACAGAGGCCCTTTCCAATGAGTCGTGGGAATTGGGGCCGGGCGGGGGGGGAGGGGGAACGACTAAGAAGGGGGACAGGAGGGCCTGATGGGGGAGGGGCGGTGGCTCTTGTCCCTTCAAGTCAGAGCTGCCACGAACGTCCCGAAGCGGCTGGAGATGTCCGAGTGCAGGGACCGCCAGGTGGGCACGGGGGCACGGGCCTTGGCCTCTCCCACGTCGTCCGTGCAGTGGACAGACAGGCACTGTAAGTGGCTGCCGGGCTGTGGGGCTGAGGCCTTGCTGGCTGTGAGGTCGTGGGCTGTGGAGAGAGAAGGGTAGATTAGTGGCGGGCTGGGCATCATGGCTGCCGAAACCCCTCTACCCATGCTACCCCTCACCCACCCCCCCATCTTTGGGCTTCAGTTCCCCCCTCCCTCCCCCTTTGGGAAAGCAGGGCTTAGCCTAGCTGGGAAGGATTCACTACCTATGAAAAATAACCAGACATGAGGTCAAATTGCAAAGGTGTCTACACTGGGGCATTCACGGATGCATAGGAGTTTACCGGATACACAGAAAGATGGAGGGGAAGACTGCCCAGACCGGTTCTTAGGATGCTCTAGACAAACTTGCAGAGAGCCTACTATGTGCTCATGGGGCCCTACTATGTATCAGCCCCAGGAAGTAAAGACAACTGTGCCACTACATCATAGCCAAGAAAACAGGCCCAGAGAGGGAGACAGGCTGACTCGGGTCACACAGGAGACAATGAGCAGCTAGGGGGGAAACCCACAGCTCCCCAGCCACACCTCCTCCCCCCCCCTGCCCACCCCTCTTCCCACCTTAGTGCTGGGAGGGGAGGGCAGTGGGGCAGGGGCCTTCTGGAGACCTGTGTCTCCCCATTATGTTACAGAGGAGTCCACATCTCAGAGAGGCACAGACACTTGCCCGCAGACACACAGAGCCAACAGGGACGCATCAGAGCCTGAACTTCTAAGCCGACAGGGGCAGCCAGGTGGAGTCCTTGCCCGCCCCACCTCCCCCCCAGGAAGTGAATGAGAGTTCCTGGCTCCCGGGGCCTCCACAGGGAGGTCACTGTGCCAACCCAAAACTGCTGTCCCCCAAAGGGCAGAAGGAGGTTTTGCCTTCCTCCTAGAAGGTCCACTCGGCCCCACCCAGCTCAGCCCCCCAGATCAACACCACCACCACCATCCTACCTGATGACAGAGGGACCGGGAAACCACTCACACCCGAGTATGAACTAGAACCCAAGTTCCCAGGAAACGGGAGGAAAAGAAGGGAGAGGCGGGAGCTGGATCGGAAGCAGAGCTGGCGCGAGATTCTAAGTTGGCAGGTGGGGGTGTAGCCAGCATTCACAGGGGTGCACACCCAGATACTGAACTCCAGCACCCGCCCCGCCCCCCGGCACCCTCGGGGAAGCTGGGGTTCAGGCCTGCCTCACCCACTCCCCCAGGGATTACGGGAGGCCTCCCTCCAGGCCTGCAGAAAAAATGGAGGGGCACAGATGGAGGGCAGGGTGGGGGTGAGCTACACCCCCAGCCCCGAAGGAGGAGGAAGACATTGAGGTTCACCAGGCCCCCCACCCCAGATTTGCCAGGTGATGTTTACAGACCAACCCTTCGTGACCAAACTCCTCTGCCACCCACAGTACTCCGGCAGCCCTTCCTCGGCATGAATCCACTGGGGCCTGCCAAACTCCAGCCCGGCAGCCCCTTCCCCGCCCCAGGCTCCCAGAGAGCCAGGGGTTCACCCCCAGATCACACAGCCCAGCCACGGGCCTGACTCCCCAGCCCTGGTTTGGGGAGGCTTTCGGTGCTCCTCCCCACCCCCCCAAGACAGATGAAGACTGTAGCTTTTGACAACCAGAGCAAGACCAAACGCATCCCTTCCCCGGATTCCTTCCAGCCGCGGGGACCCGACACACCCTGCGCGCCTCATCACCACCCGTAGATCAATCAGCCCTCGGAAGCCGCTCAAGTCCCAGCCTGTCCCGGCCAGAGAGGCCCTGCAGCCTCTGGGGGACCCCACCCCCACCCCCAAGGAGTGACAGGGCCCCTCGCTGAGCCCAGGGGCTGGAGGACCTGGGGAGCGGGGGCTACTCAGCACCGGCCCTGGCTGGGATGCAAATCTCCAGCTGACCCCACCTGGCACTGAGAGCCTCCTGTTCATGCTTCCCGGGCAGCTGCGTCTGCAGGCAGGCACCCATAAGTCCAGCCTAGGCCCAGGCATCCGTGCCCGATCCTATTTGAGAAATAAGGAGCAGCAGAGAGGGCTGGGAAACGGCTCAGCGGCAGAAGCCTGGGGCCACAAGTTCAAACCCCAGTTCGGCAAGCAACATCCTCATGCCCTGTGTCCCCCCGTCACGCTGCATCCTGTCCGTTGAGATGGGGAAGGGAGTCCCCCATCCCTCCTTGGGGCTGACCTCCACCTCTGATCCTCCTGAGCCCTGCCTCCGCAGTAGCTGGGATTACAGGCGTGAGCCACGATGCTTGGCTGTTTTTCTTTTCTTCTTAAAGTCCTAAAGGGATCGGGGCAGACAGTCCTGCTTGCTGGCCTGGAGCAGAGTAACTGTGCCAACTCAGAGCGGGGCCTGGACCAGCTGGGAACCTCACCTGGCTTCTCTGAGAATCCATAAGAAAAGGGCCCCCTCCCCTGTCCCTGGGGAAAGCTGGAGGCTCTAACCGGCTACTTGCAGCAGCCATGCTCCGGGAGCTGGGGCGGGGGCTGGAGCGCCAGCTCTGCGTCCGTCCTTCGTGTCCGTCCGTCCGTCCGTGGGTGGGTCCCGGGGCTCCCCGCTTCCTGCCTGCCCGAGGCAGGCGTGGGTTGAGGAGGGTTTCCCGGGTTATTTTTAACTCCCAGCTTATGTAAGACGTGTGGGCCCCGAGGTTCACCTTGCAGGCTCCGCACAGAGGCGGGTGTATTTTGGGGGTTCCTTTATTTGGACCCCGGAGCAGTGGGGAAGGAGACGCCGGCCCAGAGACAGCCGTTCATCAGCAGGGCAGAGGCCGGTCGGGCAGCCGTGGGGCTCTATCCTCTCCCGGGGGCCCCTCGGCCTGGAGAAGGGCCTGGGGCCGGGGGTCAGCGGCCCAGCCCTGCGTCTCCAGCCCTGCCTGGCACTTCCTGGCGGGGAGGCCTTGGGCACCAGTCATGGCTGCCCCAAGTCTCCGGGGCTTTCTCCTCTGGGAGATGGTGGAGCTGGCACTGGGGCACGCCGGGGGCTCAGGAGACTGACAGCCTTGCCCACGGGGCAAGTCATGGGGCTTGAACTCCAGGCCTGGGCGCTGTCCCTCAGCTCTTCAGCTCAAGGCGAGCACTCTGCCACTTGAGCCACAGCACCACTTCCAGTTTTCTGGTGGTTCATGGCAGATAAGAGTCTCATGGACTTTCCTGCCCGCGCTGGCTTTGAACTGCGATCCTCAGACCTCAGGCTCGTGAGTAGCTAGGATGACAGGCGTGAGCCACCGGTGCCAGGCTGGCAGCTTTTCTCTTTTGGTGGGTCCCTGGGCTCTCGGGGGCTTGGCTGCTGCAGTTGGCTGTAAACTTCAGTCCTAAGATCTGAGCCTCCTGAGTAGCTGGGATTACAGGCGTGAGCCCCTGTGCCTAGCACAAAACTTGGTTCATAGAGTGCTCAGGCCTGTGCCCCAAAGCCCGCTGCAGGAGGCCTGTGGTCAGCTCCCCCAACCCAGCAGGACCCCCTCCGCAAGACCTCATGGTTCCAAGGAGACCATTCCCCCCCCCAGCTTCAGTCAACCCTTGGTCCTGGGAACTCTTCTACCCTGGCTTCAGAGGCTGGGGGACAGAAAGAGGCCCCGAGAACTGGCAAGGCGGCCTCTGCCCTGTCACCCGGAACACACACCACACACACAGTCAGCAGTATGGGACAGCCCGGGGCCTGAATTCAGAGCCCTGGGTTCAAATCCCACCAGGGCCCTGTCCCCCGGCAGCTCTAAGGTCTCAGCTAGGTATGTGGTGAGCCTCAGTTTCTCCATCTGAAGAAGGGGATGGCCCTTCCCATCGTCCCCCCAAATGTCACCGGAGCCCAGCTTGGAGGCCGGAGGACAGACACCCCAGCCCGTGGACGCCTCTCTGCCCTCAGACACACAGAGTGGGGGTTCTGGCAAGGAGCTGCTCCATGTTGGCGGGAACAAGTCTCCTCCCAGCTTGCTGTGTGACCCTGGGTAAATCCCTGTCCCTCTCTGGGCTCTGTGTGGACCTCTTCTAAGTGACCAGTGGTGGTGGCTGTACAGCCCTTCCAGCCGCTGGCAGTGATCAGGCTGTGGGCAAGCGTCTGGGACAGGAGCGTTCCCAGAGCAAGGGACAACACGAGGCCACCCTGATCCCCCACGCGGCCAGCAGCCCGCGTGACTCTCCATCCTGGGGCCACTGAACGTCTCCTGCCCGTCAGAGGACTGGCCACCATCGCCCAGCCCCCCCATCCGTGGCCCCCCACCCTTGACCTGTGACCTGCGCCAGCTCCGCCTTTCCTATCACCATGACAACCGAGAGAAACAGGAAAA